TGTCAGATCACTGAAATAATCACCACCATTAACCTACTGGACCTTAAAATATTGAAAAGTGTGGATTCTATTGTGGAAATATTTCAATATTTAGCATTTTCAAGTCCTTTTTGTGCTTTAAATCTATTATTTACCTTAATCAGAAAGCAGAAAATGAATCCCCTAAATTTATTTACATTCAACCAGTATTTATTGTCACAGAGGCCTGTCACAGTAGGAACATAGGTGAGAGGAGCAGTCTAGATAAAGGGTTAAGGGATTACGGAAGAGGTTGCAAATAATTCTTCCAGAAATGGATCAGTTTGAGGGTTTGAAATATAAGTAGAAATACACGTTGAGGGAGATATTGGAGAGGAGATAAGCATTTCCAGTTCAGCATGTGCAAAGATACAAAGATGTACACGAGAAATCAATATTTCAGGAATGTCAAGAAGTTCCTTAAGATGGCACATAAAATGCTCTATAATCTGACTCCTGTGCAACTTCTATGCTAAATCTTGCTATTTCTTGCCTCATATATTATGTTTATCTTCTAAATCTTCCTATTTCTTGCCTCATATGTTATTTTAACTTCTATGCCCTAGCTTGTACAATCTTCTCTGCTTATAATGCCTTTCACTCGTCTTCTGGTTAATGTCTTTATACATGTCTTCTCTATTCAACTATGGACTCCTTGGGCGCAGGCCCACAACTTAATCATCTTTGTATCCCAGAACTTAGCACAATTCTTAGAATGAGGTATGCATTCTATACATGCCTATTTAATTCATTCATCTATCCATTAAAAACATTATTGAACACTTTTTTTTTTGTCATTGGTTGGTGCTTGGTTTACAATAGTGAACAAAACATGACATGGTAATGTGAGGAAGAAGTCAGAGGAGATGAGTCTAGAAAAGTGAGTTGAGAATAAATGAATACAGAGTAAAGAGATACATATTTCTGATACAGAAACATATATTTTATAGAACTTTAGAGAGGGCATAGACTAGTGGCTAATAAGTATTGTTGAAGTAGAAATTTAAGTCAGAATTTGAAGGCTGTGACTGGAGGACTACAGAATGATGTAACAGATGGAGGAAATGTTAATTACAAAAGCAGCAGATCTTGTAGAAAAAAAATCCAAGTGAAATCTAGTAAGAATCGAGTTGGTAATAAAATGGAACCAGTTGGAGGAAGATAAGCAGATGTGTATGGATTTGAAATAAAATGTAATAAGGAACCATTATGGGAGGGAGAACAATGAAATGAATAATACTTGAGCACAGGGAGTGAATCATCATCCCTGTAAAGGAAGGGGTGTGACAAAGCAGAAGAGAGACGAAATGAGTAGCTTTGGCTATTAACCAGCATGGAAGTGATTAAGCCAAGGACAGCTGGAAAAACTGAAAGAACAAATATGAAAGAAGTACAAAGAGACTGGATTTTATGAGGAGTGCATGAAAATGTTTTCTTAAGAGCCCAATATCTTTCTCTGTTTTTTTTTAGGGAAAGCTACTTTGCAAAAGGAATGTGAGAATCTGAAAGGAAGGCTCAGCAGGAACAAAACAAAGATCACTGATGGTCTTCACGAAAAGTAAGTGAGAAGACCTCTTCCGACCTGGTTGACTGGAATTCCCTTTATAAACGCATAGAAATACTAGGTAAAATAGAACTATTGTTATATAAACCATATACTAAGCTCAGTAGCCAAACAACAACAACAACAACAACAACAACAAAACCCAGGAAATTCCAAGTACCAGAAACAAACTGAAAATTTGAAGAGCAGGTACTGATAAGCAGTCCTCCAACAGTTTATACTTGGCCATAGGACTCAGGAGCCATGGCTGGGTTCCAGTGCACAAGCACTAGGCCTTGAGCTTCAGTGAGCCAGAGGAGCTGGAACTAGTCCCTTGGGTAAAACCCGGAGCCTTAAAGATCTGCCAGTCATTGGGACTGGAAAAACTCCTCCAGTCCGGGGAAGAAGCAAGGAAGTTTGCTCTTTGTCTAAAGCTTTGGAAAGGAAGATAAAACAAAAGGTACTTGTGAGAAGTCAAAACCCCAGACCTGCAACAGATACAAATTTACAGTATCTGTATAATTCAGGAACCACAAACCGAGAAATAATCATTTACAAATGCTCTACGATCTTTAAGAGCCAAAGAACCTTGACAGAAACAAATGCATTACTGCTCTGAAGGGACCCTTTCCCAACTCAGGACATGAGACTCCCATAAACAAAACCACCCCATCCTAGAACAGCACCACGGAGGAAATCAATCACAATGAGTACAAGTCAACAACTGTTGTAAACAGTATAGTTAGCAACTCAAAAGCTGGAAAGAATAGAAGCACCTGAAAGAGAAGATAAAATAAAGATATTCAACTTGATTAAGGAGGCAAAATAATAGCAATCATAATGAAAGAATGGGCAGATTCTACAAAGAACCAAACAGAACATGTAGTATTGAAAACAATATTGCCATTGAAACAAAAGTGAATGTCTAACCAGATCCCATAAGTGAACGAATACAATGACCTCTTCTATTCCTCATTTTAAATTATGCTCAGCTGTACTTCTTTTCAAGTTCGTCAGACAGGTTATACTTGCTGGTGCTCAATACAATATGAACTTTCTGTCATTATCAATTGATTCCCTTGAATCCCAAATTAATCTCTCAACAAAATGAATGAACTTTTCTTATTCCTGCAGTGAAGGTAAAGTTCGTTCTTTTGCCTGCTTGCTTGCTTTCTTCTCCTTCCCTAGTTCCAGGGAAAGAGAATTCACACAGGTATGGAGAAGAACTGGAGAAGTTCTGTACAACTCCAGAATTAGAAAAGTGCACCCAGGGAGAGGGTCCCTCCCAATGCCCTGTGAGATAGAAGACCCAATGTTTTTCCTAGATCTCATTTTATGTTTTTATCAGTGTCCTTGCTGGTACTGCAGCCACCCACATAAGGACTAAGACTCTACTAGCCTGCCAAGTGTTAAAAGCTTTCAAGTTTTTCATCCATGGTTGTAAAACAGGAAGAGTGCTCTGTTTGTAACTACCCTACAGTCTATCTACTTCCAGCCCTTACCTCTTTAGGGGGTAGTAGTGGCTTTGTGCCTTGGTCTTTCCCACTTTCCTGCCGTAATCTCAGAGGGCAGAGTTGTAAGTAAACCTTCAGTGATTCCCTCACGTCCATCTGTACTAACACAAAGTCCTTAGTGTTTCTGACATGCTCTAAGACTAAAACTGCTATAGATGTCTCCTTTTATAAGCAATTTTCATTTTAATAAATACTTTTAGTGGGAGTAGATATGTCTATTCTTGTAAGTACCCAAAAGTCCTTAGCTAGCAAAAGTGCATCTGCATTTTTTTTATCACGTCAGCTAGTTATTAATCTGTTACGTAAGTGCAAAGGCTAATGATGTCTGTCTTAACATTTACACTTTCACCCCAAAGAACTGTTCATTTCACAATTTGATGAAACCCACATTACATTTTGTTGGCAAATTAAAATTCTTTACTCACAAAGTGATGAAATGAAGGGGACATAGTTGAAATGTATTAAGATTGAATAGAATCAATACAAGTGAAGAGATGTGGAGTGTAGGAAAGGCAGGAATCAGGGTACACAAAGCTAATGATGTTAGGTCTGTAATGATTAACTTCATAAGGAGGTGGCATATGAAAGTAAATAAATGGATTCTTTCTTATATAAACAAAAACTTCATAAAAACTATTTTACTCTCATAAGTAGGTAAAGAATTTCAAAACATTGGCCCATTCTTGGTAATTCTTGGTAGTTCGACTAGTGTTAAATACTGCCAAGTCAATCGCGGGCGAAAAAAGCAACTTTAAATATATGGCCTACAATAGCATACTGGCCACACCATCTTTTTATATATCACCTAGGGAATAGCACCACAGTTCACTCAGAAACTAAGCCTTTCCTAACTTATTGGTATCAATATGCTCAACTGTGAGTAAACTGGCCAGTTTTTCCTCAAGAGTGAACAGTAATCTCTTATCACTAGTACTGGAGTCTACGCGGAGAGAAGGAACTACAATATCTGAGTGCGCACCCTAGAGCAAGACAGCTTGGGAACAAATCCCAGCTTCTCCACTTCAACTTGGAATAAGCTGCTTCACCTCTCTTGTGGCTCAGTTTCTCATTTGTAAAATGAGAACAGTATCACGGATTCCACAGGGTTGCTACTAGGATTTACAAAGCCTTTGGAACCCAGGCTGGCACAAAGAAGCTCAATAAACATCAGCTGTGATAAGCTGCTCCCCTCCAAATTCTCTGAAAAGTTACTTCTGCCATCCATTATCATTATTCAGCTTTTCAGTGAAAGGAGGGGAACTCCTATTCGTCCAGCACCTACTATCGAGCCCACTCAGTTTCTCCTTTGGACTCTGCATAGCTCTGGCAGCAGGTCTTATCGACCCTTCCGGGCGGGAAACTTGAGACGGAAAGCCCTGTGTGGATCCAAAGCCCGCGGGGGGCGGAACCAGAACGCCACACACCGTCCTCAGAAATTCGTTCGGCGCCTCCCTACCCCCAACAAGGTACAACTTCCATTTTAAGTGAGTCTGAGTAAGCCCGGGGAGACTCAGGCTTCTGAAGCAGAACAAGGACACGGCAGGAAGCCACCCCTCCTCCACAGCTTCCCGCACGAGCGAATCCCGCTGGGCCCGCGGGAAGGCGGGGCCTCCAGGACGCGGCCAGCAGCCAGACCGGGCATGAGACGGGGCGGGGCCGGCGAGCGCGAGGCCCCGAGGCTGCGGCGTGGGGCTGCCCGAGGTGTGCCGGACGCCAATCTCAACATAAGCCACCAGCTTCTTTACTCGTCAGGCCCAAGCCGTCGGTTTTCCCTTAGCCGCCACCTTCGCGACCTTCTTTCCTATCTCCTCGTCATTTTTATTGCTTGATGGAAGGGAAAAAAATGGAACCTTTAAATCAGGCATCTCCTAGGCACCAGCCAATGAAATAGGCCCTCGAGGTGGGGTCCTTTGCTCGCGCCGAAATTCAAAGGCATAAATAGTTCCGGCCCGGTGCAGAGCGCGGGGCCCGTTTGTAGCCGCTATGGTGGATTTCGCTTCGTAGCCCCCGAAGCCGGGCAAAGCTGGCCCTATCTCCGCCCTAGGAACAGAGCTTTGGGGGCGCTTCAAGCCCAGGCGGCCTGACGCAGCTGTGAGGCAGGTGCGTGCGTGCGGCTGGTTGGGCCTAGCCTGGTATTCCTGGCGGGAGATGGGGGCCGTGGGGGCTGGGGGCCCGAGTAGCAAAAAACGAACCGCAGACTAAAATTAGTCCTAAGGGGTTCTTGGCAGAATGGCTTGTTCCTACCCAGCCTTGGAGCAAGGTGAGAAAGTGTTGACAGAAAGAGCTAATGAAGCGAGGGAGTAAGCTTGAGTGAAAGCAGGTGGCTTTTGTCTATTTGTCTAGGGTTTAATCTCTTTATAAGTATTAACTAGGCACCTCCCAGCCCCGCGCCCTGGAGTCAGGCACTGTTCCAGCATACAGCGGTGGACGTAGGCGAAGATGCTACGGGACATTCATTACATGATAGGTTGGGTAGACGAATAAATTAAGTGCTGCTTTGTGTCAGCTTTAAGTGCAGTGAAGGAAAAAGCAGAATTAGGGGATAGGTAGAGGTGCTCTTTTATATAGGGAAGTCAGGAAGGACCCCGGTTAGGTGACGTTTGAGCGAAGACGTGAGAGTTGTAAAGGAGAGTGAGGTATCCCCGTGTCGAGGAGAAGAGCATGGGCAAAGGGAATGAGATGTGAAATGTAGTCTGTGTTACCTTGAGTACGATAACGGTGGAAGGTAGGCCTGGGAAAGTAAGTGGTTGACTTCCAGGTTGAATGAATGATGTAATTAACTTCCAGGTAGACACTAACTCTAGTGTATTTTTAGTTTAGGGAAAGGTAACTTTACATGAAAGGAAGTAGCTTGGTCAGTGGCTGTTTCATTTCTGTTGAGCTGTCGTCCTTAGGTTTTAGTCTTTCACATTTATTACTCCGATTTTACATCCCACTTACGTGTTTTTATTTCTGCTTTGTACAGAACTGCTTTGTGGCCAGTTTCATTTCTAGCAGAGGTTTACCCGTCCAAGTCAGTAGTGAAAATGCACATTAAGTCGATCATTCTTGAGGGATTCAAGTCCTATGCTCAGAGGACTGAAGTAAATGGTTTTGACCCCCTCTTCAATGCTATCACTGGTTTAAATGGTAGTGGGAAATCCAACATACTGGACTCCATCTGCTTTTTGCTGGGCATCTCCAACCTGTCTCAGGTAAAGTGTAAACTCTCTGATTTATGTGAATTGAAGTTTGAGGAACCTCAGGGGAATCCTTTGAATTTGGAGACTGTTGCCAATATTCTCTTCATTTGCATTTTTATGTGAAGTATTATACACCTTACCACAGTTCGTTAAAGGTGGGTATTATTGCTCCATATTTTAAGTGAGAAAATAGAAACTTAGAGTCATTGCCTAAGGTTCATCCTCTTAAGATGTTTGGAGCAACACTGAAACTCAGGCATTCTCATTCCAGAGTTGTATTCCCCGCCTCCCACCAATTATGAAGCCTTTTCAAAATCTACTAATGGGATTGGATGAATAGTGAAATTCTTAGACATTGTTTTCCTTCAGTCTTTCAAGTGAACTTTTGTTGAGAAATGAGTAGACAACAATTCAGTTTAGAGTTGAAAAAGCCCAAGGGAGAAAGGTGCCCATTTCAGGTCATTGCCCCTTTGGTTTGCTTTCTTCTCTATGAATGCTACTGCCTGTCCTTGGCTGCTAAACGGATACTACGTGGGTGGTTTTCCAACAGCAGGAAACCCATTTTTGGTGATATTTTGTGCCATATGGGGTTTTATAACTTTTAACATTTTCTTTTATTTTAGGTTCGGGCTTCTAATTTACAAGATTTAGTTTACAAAAACGGGCAGGCTGGCATTACCAAAGCCTCAGTATCAATCACCTTTGATAATTCTGACAAAAAGCAAAGTCCTTTAGGATTTGAGGTACATGATGAAATTACAGTAACAAGGCAGGTGAGTGGCTACTAAATACTTGGTTACCTAAAAACCTGCATTTTTTTTTTGGCAATATGACTGCTGGAGAGAGAAAGTTTATGAGCAAAATTGATGCATCAAATACAGACTAGATTCCTTAAGAATATCTTCCTTATGTTAAAATTTTGATTATGTAAATTCCACCATTTACCAAGAGGATTGAAAGGAATCTGAAATCCATGAGTACAAGCACTCAACCATGCTTAAATCTTGAACCACACTTGAGTCTTCGCTGCCTGTGTCTGAACACCTGTAGTACTTGGGATCTTGCTGTCTTCTGAGGTAACCTGTTTTTGGAAAGTTCTAATTAGAAGGTTATTCCTGTAAATTGAGTCAAAGTGTTGTCTTCATGTTTTATACATTAATCCTAGTTTACTTGAGAGCACCAAGAACAAATTAATTTATTCCGTAATTCAATGTTTAAATGTTCTGTAAGTCGGTTTTCTAACCTAAATCTCTCTAGCGCTTTCAGTTGACATTGAGTTGTTGTAGTTCTTTCACTTGTCTCATGATACTGAATATAAATTTGCTCCAGTTTTTTAATTTATTATTTTAATCCATGACATCTCAAATTGCACATACTAAAATTGGTCTGGCTAGGACAGGATTAAGCAGAAATTGTTATTTCTTTCATTTTAGGTACTCTACTTCTATTTTTCCCAATATGATGTTGGAGAATTCACGGTACATTATGAATTCATGTATGATTTACTTAAAATCACTGTAAATTTTTTTCACGTGTTATTAATTAGCCATGTACTGCCATTTCTGTATCTAAGCAGGTTTTTAAAAGCAGTAGAGGACTTTACATTTGTCCCTTTAAATCTTTTTTCTTATTATACTCAGTGTTATGTATTGATTGTCAAAGTTTTATTTTTAAAAGTTCTGTTAATTCCCAGTCACTCTCCAGCTTACCATTATGTACCTTATAGACTTCCCTCTATTTTAATGAAAGCCTCTGACTGGAAAAAAAAAAGGAGTGGGGGGAATTGATTAGATTGGGACAGAATCCTGTTCTCTGTCATTAAGCATCTATCAAATAATCACTTTTTAAGGATTTTCAGTAAGTCTTTTACTAATCCCTCTAAAAATTCCTGTCCTCATACAATGCATACACCTGTATCTTCATCAGAGTTTTTTAATAAAGATTTTCTCAAATTACTTATGGGTAATAATCTTGTCAGAGGAATAAATGAATTGATACTTAATATTAAGTGCTGAGCATTCTTTTTTTTATTTTTAAGACTAACTTTAAAATTCATTTATTTTTTATTGAAGTAGTCAATTACAGTGTGTCAATTTCTGGTGTACAGCATAATGTCCCAGTCATGCATGTTTATACATCTATTCATTTTCATATTTTTTTCATTAAAGATTATTACAAGATACTGAACATAGTTCCCTGTGCTATACAAAAGAAACTTGTTTTTTTAAAATCTATTTTTATATAGTGGCTAATATTTGCAAATCTCAAACTCCAAAATTTATCCCTTCCCACCCCCTTTCCCTGGTAACTATAAAATTACTTACTATGTCTGCGAGTCTATTTCTGTTTTATAGATGAGTTCATTAGTGTCCTCTTGTTTTCTTCTTTTAGATTCCACATATGAGTGATATCATGTGGTATTTTTCTTTCTCTTTCTGGCTTACTTCACTTAGAATAACCATCTCCAGGTCCATCCATGTTACTGCAAATGACATTACTTTATTCTTTTTTATGGCTGAGTTGTATCCCATTGTATAAATATACCACAATTTCTTTATCCAGTTATCAGTTGATGGACATTTAGGTTGTTTGCGTATCTTGGCTATTGTAAATATTGCTGCTGTGAACATTGGGGTGCATGTATCTTTTTGAATTAGAGTTCCCTCCAGGTATATACCCAGAAGTGGGATTGCTGGGTCATATGGTAGGTCTGTTTTTAGTTTTTTGAGGAATTTCCATACTGCTTTCCTTAACAGCTGCGCCAAACTACATTCCCACCAGCAGTGCAGGAGAGTTCCCTTTTCTCCACATCCTCTCCAGCATTTATTGTTCATAGACTTTTGAATGATGGCCATTCTGACTGGTGTGAGGTGACACCTCATTGTAGTTTTGATTTGCATTTCTCTGATAATTAGTGTTATTGAACTTTTTTCATGTGCCTATTGGCCATTTGTATGTCTTTGGAGAATTGCTTGTTTAGGTCCTCTGCCCATTTTTGGATTGGGTTTGTTTTGTTACTAAGTTGTATGAGCTCTTTATATATTCTGGAAATGAAGCCTTTGTCAGTTGCATCATTTGCAAATATTTTCTCCCATTCCGTAGGTTGTCTTTTTGTTATGCTTATGGTTTCCTTTGCTGTGCAAAACCTTGTAAGTGGAATTAGGTCCCATTTGTTTATTTTTGCTCTTATTTTTATTGCCTGGGTAGACACTCTAGGAGAACATCGCTAAGATTTATATCAGAATGTTTTGCCTATGTTTTCTTCTAGGAAATTTATTGTGTCTTGTCCTATATTTAAGTGTTTAAGCCATTTTTGAGTTTATTTTGTGTATGGAGTGAGGGAATGTTCTGACTTCATTGATTTACATCCTGCTGTCCAGTTTTCCCAACACCACTTGCTGAAGAGATTGTCTTTTTTCTCCATTGTATATTCTTGCCTCCTTTGTGAAAGATTAATTGACCATAGGTCTGTGGATTTATTTCTGGGCTCTCTATTCTGTTCCATTAATCCATGTCTGTTTTTATGCCAGTACCATGCTGTTTTGATTACTGTAGCTCTGTAGTATTGTGTGAACTCTTGGAGGGTTATTCCTCCATGGTGATCATTCTGGAATGCACTTGGAAATACAGATAGAAAGAGGAATGAGAAATAGATCTTGCCATTAAGGACCACAAAATACCATAGATTGAGACAATCATACCCAAAAAATGACAATGCAAGTCTGTAATAGAGTATGAACAGTTTTGGTAGCTGATAAAAGTTGTTCTTATTAAACCCAAGCTGAAATTCTATGATTATACTTTTCCTTTCAGATATTCACAAGTCATGTCTTTTATTAATCCCATTTAGAGTCTTGACAAAGATTGATGACAAACTATTTGTCTTTGATTTTTGTATCTGACTTCTTTTGGAAGCTAAAAAAGTGGAGGAAGAGGGATTAACCTCTGAGTATTGAAAATTGTAGAAAGAGGGTGATCAGGGATGGAAAATATATTGTATACACACTTGGAAACATGAAGCTACAAGGGACCTTAGAGACCTAGTCCAGTTCAAGAGAGGTTAGGAGTCTTGTGCCTGGTTACATAACTGCTTAGCAAAAGTCCCTGCATTAGAAGCCAGTTGTCCTGACTCAGTGTCATACTCTTTTTGACCATGTCACACTTCCTCTGTTACTTATTCTGGATTGGTTTTGTTTACCATTAGTTAGACAGAACAAACAAATAAAAGATAATGTATTGTATTTGGGGATTTATCATCTTAACTCAAGATGTGTGTGTTCATTTATATCTTTTAAAATTCTTTTTTTTAAGGTGGTTATTGGTGGCAGAAATAAATATTTAATCAATGGAGTAAATGCAAACAATACCAGAGTACAAGATCTCTTCTGTTCTGTTGGCCTTAATGTTAACAACCCTCACTTTCTCATCATGCAGGTATTTTGTTGTGGTCTTTATATTATCTTTCTTGATAGTTTTGACATCTTTTATTTTTTAACTTATAGCAGAAGTGCTTCTATATGGATTTTTTATTTACTACTATGCTAGTGTTTGGGCACCTCTTAAGAAATGTAGGTGAGTTATTTGTACTTACGTCTTCTAATATATTGTATACATTTGAATTTTGAAGAATGCCTAGAAGCAATTTTCTTTGACTTATCTTGGAGGGATATCATTCAAAAAAATCAAGAAATGTTCAGTAATTAGGCTAACATTTATATACTTAGCCATTTTAGAATTGGAGACTTCTACATCATTAATATTAACTGTCTCAGCAATGTGGCCCGAGTTAACTTTGTATCATTTAATAACTTACGTAATTTGTATCACTCACGAGAAAGTGGATAGCACAATTCTAGAATTAAAAGCTGACTTTAGTCTCAAATCTAATAAAAGAAACGTCTTTTCATGTAGGTTGAAGAAATAACTCCCAAAAGATTGGTATATTAGGATACAACAGCTTCGGTGCAGATAAACATGTATGCTTTGAGGTTACTCTTTCTGTAATTTGTTGTTATTATACTAAGTTTGCCATTTTATTTTCAGGGCCGAATTACAAAAGTGTTGAATATGAAACCTCCAGAGGTAAGAGTACTCTCTAAGGACGGTAAAAATAATAATTACAGATACTGTCTTAATCTTCTAGGTAACCAGTTTTTTAACATTATTTCTTTCATTATTAAAATTCTTAGAAACATTTAAGATTGATGAGTAAAAATAGTTTTGTTTTTTAATATTTAACACTGTGCCCCAATTTTTTAAAAATTATGAAACATAGCCCTCTGAGCCTTAGTTTCTTCATTCATAAATTGAAGTCAATAATCCTTACCTTAAGGTCTGTTTTGAGGATTAAATGAGAATGTAAAAGAAAAGTCATGGGACCTTGTTAAGCAAATTTTTTTATTATTATTACTTTTAATTGAGATATAATTGACATAGTTTCAGGTATATAACATAATGATTTGATATATGTATATATTACAAAATGATCACCACAAGAAGTCTAGTCAACATTCATCACCACACAGATACAAATTTTTTTTTATGATGAGAACTTTTAAGATTTAGTCTCTTAGCACTTTTCAAATATGTAGTACAGTATGGTTATCTATGATCACCATGCCATACGTTACCTTACCTACCCAGGACCTTTAATTTTATAAGTGCAAGTTTGTACCTTTTGACTGTGCGCACCCGTTTTGCCCACCACCCATCCGCCACCCCTGGAAGCCACCAGTCTGTTCTATGAGTTCAGTTTTTTTGTTTAAAGATTCCACATATAAGTGAGATTACACTGTGTTTGTCTTTCTCTGACTTCATTTCCCATAATGCCCTTGAGTCCTATCCATGTTGTCACAAATGGCAAGATTTCCTTTTTTTTAATGGTTAAACATTAATTTGTTTATATGTGTAAATACCACATATCCTTTATCCATTCATCCTTCAGTGGACGCTTAGGTTGTTTCTGTGTCTTGGCTGTTGTAAATAATGCTGCAGTGAACATTGCGGTGCAGATTATCTTTTCAAATTAGTGTCTTTGATTCCTTCAGATAAATACCCAGAAGTGGAATTGCTGGATCATATGTTAGTTCTATTTTTAATTTTCTGAGGAGCCTCCATGCTGTTTCCCATAGTGACTGTACCAATTTACAGTCCCACGAACAGTGCACACGGGTTCCCTTTCCTCCACACCCTCACCAACACTTGTTATTTTTTGTCCTTTTGATAAGTCATTCTGACAGGTGATACCTCGTGGTTTTGATTTGTATTTCCCTAATGATCAGTGATGTTGAACATTTTTTCCTGTACGTTTTGCCCATTTGTATGTCTTCTTTGAAAAGATGTCTATCCACATCCTCTGCCCATTTTTTTAATTGTAATTTTTTCCATTGAATTGTACTGAGTTCTTTGTGTATTTGGTTATTAACTCCTTATATATATGACTTACAAATATTTTCTCCCACTCAGTAGGTTGCCTTTTCATTTTGTTGATGGTTTCCTTTGTTGTGCAGAAGCTTTCTAATTTGATGTAGTCCCACTTTTTGTTGTTGTTGTTGTTGGTTTTGGTGCCTCTGCTTTTGGTATCAAATCCAAATAAATTATCACCAAGACTGATATCAAGGAGGTTACCACTTACATTTTCTTCTAAGAGTTTTAGGTGCCTAATACAGTATTAACAGAAATTTTAACAGTATAAAGTAGCCTTCTCAACTTGTGTTCCATGTCAGAGTTAAACCCTACAGAAAAAGATTTGAGTGAAATTGATTCATTACATACAATGGATTGCTTAGGGCATTAAGACTTAATTTTCTTTTGGAGCACCCTAGAGAAGAGTTGGTATGAAGGAAGCAATGTTTTGTACAAGAGCAAAGGCTCTTCTGGTTATTTTTTTCTGTGAAGAAGAACTAAGAAGACTGATGACTGATACTAGTGCAGTTTGACCGTAGGTCATGCTTATTTTCTTTAGATAGCATCTTAAGGGAAAACTTCCAATTCGAAACCTGCCAAATACATAGAAATCAAAATGGTTTTCAGAGGAATAATCCTCTTGAGACAGGAACTGATGGTGAATTTCAGAAACTTGTGAAAAAGGAGTGCTGGTAAAAGTGTCCTTCTTACAAAATTATAATTGATTAATGTTTGCCTTTTTCAAAGTGCTTCTCACATGAATTATTTTGTTTACTTCTCAACAATGCTGTGGGATACTATCAGTACTCTGCAGACAGAGAAAATTAAGTTACTTGACCAAGTTTTTAAAGCACATGACACAGGTGAGATGCCAAGGCTCATCCTTGTAGGAACAAAATGACTGAAGTCTCACTGGGAACAGTTTTAAGTATAAATTTATAAAATGAAAGCTGAATGTTGTTAGCCTTTATTATTTTTTTTTTCAAGGCTTGTATTTGCAGGAGAAGAGGAGGAAAGAATTACTAGCTTCAGTTCTAAAAGAGATGTACTCTGGAACATCAGTGATTTAGAATTGGAGTGAAGTCCAGAGATGTGTCTTAAATGTTAGGGTTATGGCTAATTTGTACATTTTTATATACTTAACTTTTATGGTCCATAATTTTGTTAAGATGCGTAGTGAGATTAAGGCCTTAAATAATAACCTTAATGTAAGTTCCATTGAGATGCATTGTATTGGATTTTTAAAACATTAATACAATCATCTTTCCAGATTTTGTCCATGATAGAAGAAGCAGCTGGAACCAGGATGTATGAATACAAAAAGATAGCTGCCCAGAAGACTATAGAAAAAAAGGAGGCTAAGCTGAAAGAGATAAAGACGGTAATTAGATTTATATAAAACATTTTTAGAGAAGAGAGTAATTTTGCATTTAGAGTTTCTCTGCTGTAGAAAGGGAAATTTCCCCCCGACAGTTCCTCTCCTTAGTCTTCTATCCTTCTTCCTCTTTCAGATCTCTTTAATGGTACTTCACATACTAAAAAATATGATTTTCCTTTATTTTCCAGATACTTGAAGAAGAAATTACTCCAACTATTCAAAAATTAAAAGAGGTATATACTGTAATGTGAGGACAACCAGCTAGACTGTCTCTCAAAATTGGTGACGTATCCAAGATCTTACATGTAGGGATGAACTGTGTACCACTTCTCGGGAATTTTTTTCTGGAATGAGATGAGAGTTAAAGAGTTTGTAGTCCATACTCAGCCTTCTGCTTGTAGAGGACATGTACTGCATGTCTGTTCAGTCATCATGGTTTTGGAGGTTGCTCTCATAGTCTCAGAAGATGATATTCCAGATTTTAATTCTTTGTTGAAAAGTAAGTCTGAATTTTCTGGGATAGTTAGACTTGAGCAGAACAGTTATTTCCTAAAAATAGGACACTCTTAGTAACCTTTCTTGGTAGAGTGAATAACTTCTAGGATAAGAGGGGCTGTCACTACTATTACTGCTGTCAAGGCAATTGGTAAGTGAAAGGTATTAAAATAGATGACTGTTTTCTGTATAATCTTTGCAGCTTTTGGTATCATAAAGTTTCAGTGAAAGAATGCATTTATAGCACATTGTTTTTAAATTGTGTTTAGGAACTTATTAAATGCTCATTAAAATTTGATGCTTCTCAGGCTATCTTCTGAATCCATATAAGTAGCATAGATGTTGTTGGAAAAACTGAAAAATTTAAAGATGAACTTGAAGGTACCCTCTTTGTACGTATTATTTAGTAGAAAACACTGAAATACTAGTTTAAACCTAGGTGTCATTCCAGATTTTGCCAAATTTAAGTCTGAGAGCATTGAGAGGTCATTGAATCACTGAATTTGTTTCTTCATCTGCAAATTAGTGATTTTAATTGTCTACTTTCTCTGCCGCAGCAGGTTCTTATGGAAATCAAGTTTAGTAATATGTGAGCAAATAGTTACATGAATGAATGTTGGGTAGGCATCTTGGTAATACTACTACAAAATACATTTAGTAGTGTATCATTTGTGGTGTGTAGGTTGTATTTATATAGACTTCTTGCTGTCCATCCCCCGTCTATGAACCTTATGCGTGCATTTCTTTGTTAAACTCAACTGCCTGATTATATATGAAAACAAACAGTCGTATACGATTCATTGGAGATGGTAGAACACTGTCTAAAAAGCCAGAATTCTGTTATAAAGTTTCCTAAAATTTATAATCCATATTTACTCAATCTAAGAGAAAATCCAATATATATCTTGTAATGGAAAATTGTATCCATGTTGCTATATTTTGATTTTTTCCAACTTCGTTTATGAATTTTGAGTTATGCTTTATTGGTGATTTCTCTTTCAGGAAAGATCTTCCTACTTGGAGTATCAAAAAGTAATGAGAGAAATAGAACATTTGAGTCGTTTATATATTGCTTATCAGTTTTTGCTGGCTGAAGATACCAAAGAACGCTCAGCTGAGGAGTTAAAAGAAATGCAGGATAAAATTGTTAAGCTTCAAGAAGAATTATCTGAGAATGATAAAAAAATAAAAGCACTTAGTCATGAAATAGAAGAGTTGGAAAAAAGAAAAGATAAGGTCAGACATATTTGTAAGAATAGATGATATACTGAAAAAAAATTATGTACAGTAACTAGGGCATTTTCTGTATTGATTTGTTAATCTTTAAGTTTGACAATAAAATAGCTTATAAAAAGTAAATGATTTATATAGTTTTCCAAAAAAATTTGACGTGAACGTATTTTAAGTATACTGATTGAATTGAGTGCATTTGATTATAGGAAATTGGAGGTGTACTTCGATCTTTAGAAGATGCTCTTGCAGAAGCTCAGCGAGTCAATACTAAATCTCAGAGTGCCTTTGATCTCAAGAAGAAAAATCTGGAGAGTGAAGAGAATAAACGCAAAGAGCTGGAAAAAAATATGGCTGAGGTAAGCAAATAAAAAGCTTAATTTAATTCCAGTGGTATACATTTATGCATCCTGTTAATGTTTTTTTAATTGAAGTATAGACAGTTACAATGTGTCAATTTCTGGTGTACAGCGTAATGTCCCAGTCATGGTTATATGTGCATATATTAGTTTTCATATTCTTTTTCATTAAAGGTTATTACAAGATACTGAATATAGTTTCCTGTGCTATACAGAAGAAATTGTGTTTAAATTGTTTTTTGTTTTTATCTATTTTTATATATGGTGGCTAACATTTGCAAATCTCAAACTCCTAAATTTATCCCTTCCCACCCCCTTTGCCCTGGTAACTGTAAGATTGTTTCCTATGTCTGTGAGTCTGTTTCTGTTTTGTAGATAAGTTCATTAGTGTCCTTTTCTTTTCTTTGTTTAGATTCCACATATGAATGATATATGGTATTTTTCTTTCTCTTTCTGGCTTACTTCACTTAGAATGATGATCTCTAGGTCCATCCATGTTACTGCAAATGGTATTATTTTATTCTTTTTTATGGCTAAGTAGTATTCCATTGTATAAATATACAACACTTTCTTTATCCATTCATTTGTCAATGGACATTTAGGTTGTTTCCATGTCTTGGCAGCTATAGTGCTGCAGTGAACATTGGGGTGTCCAGATATATGCCCAGGAATGGAATTGCTGGTTCATACACTGTTGGTGGGAATGTAGTTTGGTGCAGCCATTATGGAAAACAGTATGGAGATTCATCCTATTAATATTTATTGAGTATCTGCTGTGTATCACAACAACTACCCTTGATATAACTTGGGCTAGGTTATAACAATGGATAAAATGATAATGGACAAAATGCCTTTATGCATCTTCATTCCAGTGAGGAAAGTGATGATAAAGGAAATAAATAAGTGAAATATATAGCATGTTACATAGTGATTACTGATGTGGAGAACAAAATAAAGCAGTGGAGAGGGTTGCAGTTTGGGATTTTAAATTGGGTAGACATCAAAGGTCTAATTGGGAGGGCAGTATTTCATTAAAGACCCAAAGGAGGTTCAAGAACCGTGTAGATAAATTGGCAGGCTGTAGGGAAAGATGTTCCACGCAAAAGAACAGCAATTGCCCCAAGTGCTTAAGGCATTGAAAAGCTTGGAGATCAATGTGGCTGATTATCACTAAGTAGTAGGAATGCAGAAAGGTGATGGGGGGATGGTATCACACGTGGTTTGCAAAATGTATGAAGGACTTTGATCTGTATTCTGAGTGACATGGGGAGCCTCTGGAGTTGGCTGAACAGAAGAGTGACATTTTAATGTTTTAATAGGACTATTCTTGCTGTTTCAAGGATAAACTAATGATAAAGGGAAGAAGCAGCCCTTGGATAAATGCAGTAGAAGTGGGTATAGTAGAGAAGTTGTGGAACTTTTATGTGTATTTTAAGGATAGGTCCAACAGATAGACCCAGTAGATTGGTTTTTGAATATGAAATAAAAGATTGAAGGATAATTCTAGGTTTTTGTCTTTGACAATTTGAAATATGGTTATCATTAGTTGGAGAATAATAGATTTGAGGTGCCAATTTATACACTCATTTCTTAGGTGATCCCATCTAGCCCTGTAGCCCTGAATACCATCTATATGTTGGTGCCTTTCAAATCAGTAATTAGCCTTTACTCCTTTGAATTCTAGACTCATTTGTTCAGTTATATAATTGACATTTTTACATGGATGACTTACAAAAAGCCTAAAATGTAATATATCTCAAATAGGACTCCTAAAATTTTCCCCACCTACCCAAACCTGCCTGAGTTTTCCTCATGTAAGTAAATGATACTACTGTTAACCTAGTTGTTCACTCCCGAAATCCTAGAGTCCTCCTGGATTTTCCCTTTTCCCCCAAACCCTGTAGTATCTAATTCATCAACAGATTCCATTGACTTTGAGTATATCCAGAATACAACCACTTTTTATCCTTCCTTCACTGCTAACCTGGTTCAGGCCATCACCTCCCAGGAGGGATACTCTGGGAGCATCCTCATTAATTGTCCTGCTTTTACTCATGTTGCTCTACAGTCTGTTCTTTACAGAAGCTAAAGTTGGATTACATCACTCTTGTGCTTAAAATCCTTCAATGGTTTCAAAAAAAAAAATAATGCGTATAGTTAAATTCAGAGTCTTTCCCACGGTCTGTAGACCCTACATAATATGACTCCTGGCTCCTTCACTTGCTCACTGTGCTCCAACCACAGTTCCTCCAACACCCAAGCATACTCCTCAGAGCTTGCCAAGTATACTGTCCCCCTAGTGTTAGCATGGTCACTCCTTTTGTTTCATTGAGGTTTCACATCATCACAAAAAGCTCTTCCCTCCTTTAAAACAGTAGTCCCATTCTTTTTCATCCCTTTACCTTGCTTTATATATTTGTTTATTATGTTTCTCATCCTAGAAATATAGGCTCCCTTGGGAGCTTGTGTCTTTAATGTCTAGGACAATGCCTGGTACCTGGGTATGTATCTGATAAACATCTGATGAATCATGAATTATGTGGGCCAAAATTTCTGATCGTTTTCATGTAAATAATACAGCTAGATTTTTTTTCTTTTCCCAGTGCTGGTATTTTGCATAGTTTGTTACCTGGTTACTGGAACCTAAAATGTGTTAAGTATTAGTAATGCTGTGCCTGTGATTATTTTAATATTAAAATTTTATGAACTTTCAATAGTTTATAAAAATATTTTCATATACATGCTCTTAGTCCTAAAATCTTTACTTTTAAGTTCGGGGTAGTAAGGCTATTTTTTCAATTTTAGAGATTTAGAGGAACTGATTTTTAGTTTTTGCAAGTGGTTTAAATTTCAATGCTGTCTTAGCTCATATGTCCCAGATTTGACTACAACATATGAAATGGAAGTATTTCTATTAGGATAAGAGAGATATTTATCCTAAAAATTGAGAAAGGCTGAATTTCAAAATGGGACTACAGTGTTTAAAGTTATGATGGTTAAATTACCGTGCTCACTTCAACTTGCTATGAAATTTGATGACATATAAGGGTATAAGAAAATGGATGGTTTTCTAAAACATAATACTTACCAATCTGAAACTCTTCCTAAAGGATTCTAAAACTTTAGCAGCAAAGGAAAAAGAGGTTAAAAAGATAACAGATGGGCTGAATGCCCTTCAAGAAGCAAATAATAAAGATGCCGAGGCTCTGGCTGCTGCACAGCAGCACTTCAATGCTGTCTCCGCCGGCCTGTCCAGCAACGAAGACGGAGCAGAAGCAACTCTGGCTGGTCAGATGATGGCCTGTAAAAATGACATAAGTAAAGCTCAGACAGAAGCCAAACAGGTAAATACAGACATAGAGCACTTTGTGGTGGCATTTTGTTTTTCTTTTTCCTGAGAAGCTCTTTCATATTATGCTTTGGCAGTTGTTGTAAAATGTTGAAAGTAATCAGATCAATATCAAGGAACTTGATTACTATTTAGTACCTAAAATAATGAAATTCAAATATGTTGATTGCTACCTACTGATGGTGTTAATGATGCTATAAAACATAAAGTACCTTTATAGGTTAATTGAAATTGTAAGTGCAATAAATGCTCTCTTGTGTTTTCAACATTGTATGGAATACTTGAGGTTAGTCAGTTTATTTCCATCTTTTTGCTGTTGTATTGACATAAAGTTGAAGTTGTACGCTTTAACAGGAAAACAAAAATGTCCTCTCCTTTCCTATTCCCACCACACCTAGTTCTTAAAACTTTGTTTCTGAAACTTTGCAACATCCTCCTTCGAAGTATCTCTATCTCCCATTTACCTCCATTCCAGTCTTTGGTTTCCCTACTCTGATTTCATAATCTTCAAAGGCTTTTCTGTCTATTGTAATGGTTTTCAAATTTATTTAGATGTGTAGCACAGAACTCCTGTGAACACAAGAGTTGATGGCAGAAAGAAAAAAATATATATATATACACACACACATTCTTTTATTCATTTTTTAATAGAGGACTTGTTTTTAAAAATACATCCGAATGTGTGTGTCTATTAATCCTAGTCAAGATTTTCTATTACACATTTGCAATTTTTTCATTTAAAGATGGATAGTCACAAATAAATTGTAAGAAATCAATAGCAAAAGAATCTTAAAGTCCTCCCAATTTCTTTGTTAACTTACTTTTTATATTGGGAAAAGCCCACCATTCAGTTTTAAAGGATACACTCAAGTAAGACCTTAGAACATTAGTTCGTGGTTTTAAAGAAAGGTGCTCAATTATATAAACTAGCATTTAAATATCAGACTTCTATCATTTAAATTTTTCTGTCAGTTTTGCTTCCCTTTCCTGTATAAGTTTATTCTCACTGCTCAATACAGTTTCATAGTCAGATAAAACTCACAAATATACATAAATACAAATATGCATATCTAAGTAGAAAAGAAAGGAAGGAAGTGATTTCTAGCTTTCTATTTTGTTTTTTATTTAACCAGCTAATGGCAGTTATTCTTTGATATAATTTTTGAACTCACTAATGTCATATTTTATAAATAGTAAAAAGATGGACATGAATTGCAAGTTATTTAATGATTTAAGCATATACTTTTTATAAGTTTTTATTGAGATTTTTTTTGAGGAGACAGTATTGGGAAATAGTTGATCTGTTGAGATATTAATCCAAGTGACCAAGCAGTTGTATGTTCAAGGTTGATGTCTCTTTTTTCTAATTTTTTAGTAGTCAGTTACAGTGTGTCAATTTCTGGTGTACAGCACAATGTCCCAGTCATGGTGTCTCTTAAACCAATTGGAATCTGTGGCTGTTTTATCACTAGCACTATCTGCCTCATATAGTCTGTTACATTTTTCTATTACAGGCTCAGATGAAGTTGAAACATGCCCAACAAGAATTAAAGACTAAGCAAACTGAAGTTAAGAAGATGGATAGTGGCTACAGGAAGGATCAAGAAGCATTAGAAGCTGTGAAGAAACTTAAAGAAAAACTTGAAGCCGAAATGAAAAAGCTAAACTATGAAGGTTTGCCTTTAAAGACGTGATGTTAAATCATTAGAAGTAGTGATTATTGATAGAAACTAACTTAAAGGAAGTAGCAAGTAGGAAAAATTTTTACCCCATTAATACTAGTGGTATTAGGATAGGATATGTATGTAAATATAGTCACAAAAATATCTGAGTATAAAACAGCGCTTTGAATTTTTGAAAACTCAGTACTGAGAATTTCCTGTTTCAGTTACTCTGAAGTGCCACTTGACAACTCAGAAATGTTATTTGTATATTTCTATGTTAGTAGGTATCCAATTCATATGTTGTTTCTTGGAATGAACATGGTGTTATGTGTTGGAAATAATGTTCACCTGACACTTGATAGAAATTTGAATGTTAAGCATACTTTAATTACCCACCAGAAATTTGTATTTTGTTTCTAGAAATGCTTTGAGGGTAGGGGTTAGTAATATTTTCCATAAAACAGTGTAGTATTTGAGTTTTTAAAACTGGTTTCAATTTACTTATGACTTACTGTTTAGAAAACAAGGAGGAAAGCCTCCTGGAAAAGCGTAGGCAGCTGTCTCGTGATATCAGTAGATTGAAAGAAACATACGAAGCTCTCTTGGCCAGATTTCCCAATCTTCGATTTGCCTACAGGTAAGAGAGTTAAACCTTGAATCTTAATATAGTAATAACTAAGATATATTTTTGTGTGAAAATTATTATAAGCTGCTTTTCCTTAACTGGAATTTCTTCCTTAAATGTTAATTGAAATGTTTGAGATTTGTAGGCAGAGGAAATTCTTCTGAAATTTAAAGGCTACTGATGCCACTTAATCTTAAATTAAGACCAAAATGAGGGGAATTTAATCTCAGTCCAAAAGTTCCTTTAAGGTTATTATCATTAATGTTAAACAGCTATATTAACATATTACAATTTGTTTTACTGTATTTTTTTTGTGGAATACTTACAGTAATATATGTATTACAAAGATTAGAACATCAAAGTTATTTTTGTTACATTAAAAATGTAGTATATACTGAAAGATATTTTGATTATAAAACAGTAGTTTATTAGTTTGCAGTAGAATAATGTGTAAAAAATAACATGCATACCTTAATTTGAAAAGGCTTTATTACTAAAAAATGCTAACCATCAGGTGACACTACAGGGTTGCCACAAACCTTCAATTTGTGAGAAAACCAGCCTGTAGCTGGCTAGTCATCTGAACATTTTAAAATTTGTATTCTGTTAAAACTATATGAATCTTGTATTTTAATCTAATATATTGTCAGAAAGAGACTAGTAAAGTACAACTTTTTCTATTTGCTTATCTAAGGTTAATTTTTGTCCACTTTTCTGTTTTAGGGATCCAGAGAAGAACTGGAATAGAAATTGTGTGAAAGGACTTGTAGCTTCACTGATAAGTGTGAAAGATACTTCTGCAACCACAGCTTTAGAATTGGTGGCTGGGGACCGACTCTACAATGTCGTAGTAGACACAGAGGTAAATTGACTTTAATTAAAGAAGACCTATAGTTGTTGTTTAGCTTGAAAAATTGTGTACTCCTAGAAGAACTGGGTACTTTCTTGATGTTTTAAGCTTCTCCTAAGGTTGCTTATACCTTTACAGTGTAAAACTATAGTGTGAATGACTTCTTTTATTATGTTATTGATTATATTTGATTAACTGTATTCCAGAAGAAGTCTTAACGCTAACTCAAGAGCCTAGAATGCATATTATCAGTCTCCGAGTTTTGATTATTCAGAATAGTAGGCACTCAACATTTATTTGATTATGGATTCCTAAACTTGTAGTCTTTCCATTTGAATGTTTTCTGTTATTAATATTTTGTTTTCTTATTTCTAATGCACAATGTCTTAGGTTACTGGAAAAAAGCTACTAGAAAAGGGGGAATTGAAGCGTCGATACACTATCATTCCACTCAATAAAATTTCAGCCAGATGTATTGCTCCAGAAACTCTGAGGGTTGCTCAGAATCTTGTAAGTCTTCCTTATGTATTTTGTCTGCATCTTACTTTTTTTAAAATTACAAGACATTAACGCTGTCCTTTGAAGTAAACTAGGATTCCAATCATATGTCAAACCACAAAATTTTATTATGTTACCATGCCTTAAAAAGTTAAGATACCAAAAAAAATAAAGTTGGCTTTTGTGAAATTAGATAGGAAGAGAATAGAATTGTTGGAAGACTAAAATTCTCTATGATATTTTAAAGGTGTAGTATTAGAACATCTTTAAACCTAAAGTCAAGTCACATGACTATCAGGGGTAGTAAATATTAAATTTCTGATTTCTCCATAGTTAGAATTACAGAGCTGATAAATACCAGAGTTCTTCAGGTTTTTTTCATGACAGGCACACTTAAACTGCCCACTGCGACGGCTGTTGCGGAAGGTATCAATCAGTCTTGCAAAGATGCTTCTCTGTTGGGGTTCTTCTAGACTGCATTCCAACCTATGAACTACAAAGCAGGTAGCCAGGATACCCAGTCAGCTGCTGAGGTGGATCTAAAGTGATGTGGTTAGTAGTAAACAAACCAGTGTAAGGAAATACTTTTAAAAGGCTATTATGATTGTATAATATTTGGTAAAAACTTGAAGTCAGTCATAATACAAAGATACCAGTTATTGAGCAGGCATTCTGAGTATATGAGTTGAAAAGACAGTCTATGAAATGTAGAAATGCATGTATAATTAATGTATTACATGGATATTCAGTATATTTGTTGAAATTGAGGAGCCTTCAATGGAAATTGTTTCAAAATACAGTAGTATAGATATGTATACTATCAGGAGAAAGAAGATGAATACAGAGTAATTGAAAGTGGTATTTTTGGCCAGTACTTCCTTTACTTTGAAAACTCATCCTAGAGTCTACAAAGCTTTGAAAGTTATTTCAACCTTAGGTCAAGTCCCAGTGTTAGAAGTAAATTGAATTGGGCTATAAGTAACAACAAAAATACTTCCACCAAGATCCCTCAGCCAGACCCATTTAATGGTAACAGCTATGTCAGAGGACACTGCTGAATGTAGGTTACATGGAGCTGCCTTCATTGTGCTTTCTCATGCTGTTAAGCTCTATAAAGGATGCCAAGTTGTTGTAAAAGTATGAGCAGAGATCGACATTATAAACAAAGGTTGAAAAAAGACGGTTGGGTCAAAATAAAGGACTGAGGGATTTTTTAAATTCTTTTTTTACTCTCTCAATTACGGTGTTTTTATTTCCGTAACTGGCAGGTGGCTGCCCCAGCATGCTTAATTTGAATGAAAAAGAATTAACTTTAGAAAAACCAAATTAATAATTGAAATAAAACATTTTATGTAATTGTGTTGATCCAGCAGTTGCTGTACTTTAATTAAGACAGGGTGTTCAAATAGGCCATTTTGGATTTAGAAATTTGGTAGTAGCTTCTGCTTGATTGAAACTCTCATTATGACTGGTACTCTAGCTAAACATTTTTCAATGTTTAAACTTGAGATTTTTTTTTCTAAAACTATTACATTTTCCATAGTACTTTAGAAAGTTCAAAAGCTGGGCATGTATTTTTTAAGTTTCTATTATAGCAGTTCTTACTGTTTTATAAAATAATATTTGAAAGGAAAGGAGTATTATGTATAATGAAATCTGTTTTCCCACAGGTTGGCCCTAATAATGTTCATGTGGCTCTTTCCCTGGTTGAATACAAACCAGAACTTCAGAAAGCAATGGAATTTGTCTTTGGAACGACATTAGTTTGTGACAATATGGATAATGCAAAAAAAGTAGCTTTTGATAAAAGGATAATGACTAGAACTGTAACTCTAGGAGGTGAAGTATTTGATCCTCATGGCACATTGAGTGGAGGTAGGTTTTATATTATTTTGTTCTTATGATATTGTGTGTTAAATAAAATGGGGTTTTTTTTTTAAACAGAAAATACTGGGATTGGAGTGTCTTAATCTAGTATTTTATTCCTAACCTCAGGATTGAGTTTTGTTTTGAATACCTACTATTTGACAAATACTTAATATTAATTGAGAAATTATACAGTGTTATAGCCCTCAAGGATCTCATAGTCTAATAATCAGTACTATAGCTTTTTTATTCATCTTAAGTAAATCTTTTCCTGTTTATTTTCTCTTTTTTTCCCTATCAAGATACTCTAGTCACTGGAAAATGAAGTCTTTTTATTCAGTACATTTGTAGTTTCACTACCCACTTCTCCTTCAGGAAACATGTTGACTTCTAATTTGTGTATGTGCCTCTGCTCCTGTCAAAAGTAAAATACAAAATTAAATCTACCCTTGAGATGGTGCCTTAAGAAATTCTTTAGATAATGATCGTATTCTTCTTGTTTTGATATTTGCTACACTGAGGTTTCAGATCTGTGTCAAGTGACTGTAATAAATAACAAACACTGAATAGTACTTACTGTGTACTGGGCAGTGGTGTAAGACTGTACTGTCCAATACAGTAGCTACAAGCCACATGTGGCTCTTTACATTTAATTAAGATAAAGTTAAATAAAACTAAAAATAATTTCCTTAACTGCACTGGTCATATTTCAAGGGCTCAGTAACCGCAAATGGTTAATGGGTAATTGGACAATGCAGATATAGAACATTTCTATCGCTGTATAAAGCCCTATTCTAAGGGCTTTGAATAATTAACTTATTTAATCCTATAGCAACTATGAGGTAGACATTACTATCATCTCCAGTATACAGTTGTATAGACTGAGGTACAGAATGGGTAAGTAATTTGCTGGTAAGTGGCAAAGCTCAGAATTTGAACTCAGATAGTCTGATTTCAGAGTATGTGCTTTTAACCAAACCACAAGATTTGGATGCCTCCTGAGATTATCAAGTGTCTTAATTTCTTCCTAGGCCAAGGAAACAGTAGCTAATATAATGAATTCCATGATCAAGTATCAAATTCCCCAGTATACCATACTAAGTGTATAGTATAATATGACTAGTATCTGCAGTTGGAAGATACAGAGCACAAATATTTTTTAAATATCTAAAATAGAAGAAACCTTTTAGGTTCCATTAATTTGGACATTCTTGAAATTCCTGTTTAAGAGATGGCAAATATGTAACCCCGTATCATATAAACAGAGTGTTCATAATAGCATTGCTGATTGACCTTCACATACTCCCATGAAGCCTAGCGTTTTCTTGCCAACATAACACCTCAGCCTGTTAACACCTACTGCCAGACATAGTACATGTACGGTGAAACCAGTTTACTCCGCTAGATCAAGAGTTTAGACCATGTTATGATGTGGTAACATAACAGCTCCCAACTCCCAGTGGCTTATAAGTTTATTCCATAATTATGTTACATTAACTGTAGGTCACTTGTCTGTTTCATGTTATTCTCATTATGGGACCCAGACAGACTGAGAAATAAGTCCTTTTTTTGAACATACTTTTCTTATGGGAAAGGGAAAACATTTGGTGAATTATGTGCAGCCTCTTAAAGTTTACTTTCAGAAGAGGCACATTCCCCATTTCATTGGCCAAACGAAATCACATGGCTAAGCCTGATATTAGCAGGGAGGAAAATGGGCCTGGTAGGGATGGGCCCAGTAGGCAGAGGCAGTGATTGTTTTGAAAACATAACCCACTGCATCTACTTAGAAGTATCTGTTATCAAGTATGTGTATCCTCAGATTCATATGATGAAATGAGTTCTGTAGCTTCACGAGTCTTTTCAAGTATAATTCTCTTAGAAAACTTTATTGTTCACTAAATATGTGGTAACTTAATGTTCCATTTGCCTCTGTCAGGTGCTCGATCCCAGGCATCTTCTATTTTAACCAAGTTTCAAGAACTCAAAGATGTTCAAGATGAGCTGAGAATCAAGGAGAATGAGCTACAGGCTCTAGAAGAGGAGTTAGCAGGTCTTAAAAACACTGCTGAAAAGTAAGACTGGTTGGATGAAGCTGTATTTAAAAAATTTTTTGATCAACGATTTGCATGGTAGAAAAAAAGAGTTTTGTTTGAAGAAATATTTATGGCTTTTTTCATAATGTCCTTGATTTTATTTGAATCAGTTGTGAGTTGCTAACTTGTTTATCAGGTTTTTTTTAAATAAAAATAATGTGTTTAAGAAATTAGGGAAAGCTAATTAAAAAGAAGAAAGAGAAATCAGCCGAATATTCCCCTTTTTCTGCTGAGATAGACCCTGTTAACATTCTGCTGGGATTAGTGGGTAGACCCATAGATACTCTGAAGGTTGACACCAGAGGATAATTGAGTCTTTGATTTGAAATGATGTAACATATTATAGCATGGATCGGGTATCTACACCAAGTTTTGCAGCATTGTGGCTGTCCTGTAGATGTTGAACATCATTAGGTTGCCTGTGGAGGAGTTAAACAAGTACATGTCAAAAATCACTACTAAAATTAGTGTTTATTTAGTGTTTTTGTGTGGGTGTGGATATAGGTATGTATGTGTTCTTTTAAACATTACTTCTGTTTGTGTATGACACAAAATTTGTGTAGCTTTTTTTTTTAATTGGGATCATTCTATTTAATGTAACCTGTTTTTTGGGTTTTTTTTTTTTTTGTCATTTAACATTATTCACTATTGAGTGCCTCCTTTGTGCCAAGTTCCCTTCTAGGAGCTGGGAATACAGACAGCAGTGAACCAGACAGATAAATCTCTTCCATCATCTTGTTTTCATATGTGTATTTGGGGAAACAGACAATATAAAAAGTTAATTTGGTAAAACATGTTAGATAATGCTAAGTTCTAAACTAAAATAGGAAAGGAGATAGGAAGTCTCCAGGGAAAGAGGCTTTTAAATTTTAGTTGGGGTGGGCGGGAAGAGCCTCACAGAAGACGACTGTTGAATAAACTCCTGAATGAGAGAACTCATCACATGGTTATCCAGAAGAGTCCTTACTTGCTTTAAAAGCTTCAGGAGTATAAATGCCACAAACTTACAAAGTACATCATTTGAGAGTTTAATTGTAATTTTTTCTAGTCCCTCAAGATGGCAAATGGGAACTGAGATTAAATCAAAATCAAACACTTTGTTCAGAATTCACAATTTTGAGTAAAGGTTTTAAAAAACAAATCAAAAACTTTGAAATAATTTTTTTGAGGGTAAGTTTTTGGCATTCATCTTCTAAAATTATGAAAGCTTAGAATGGTACCAAGACTTTTATGGGACACAGTATATATATGGAAAAGATAGTTACAATCGGTCAAACTGTTCATTCCAAGATAAAAATTACATTAAAATGCCCACTTTTAAACATTATATGCATGGTAAGCCTGCCTTTTACCTTCGTTAACATAAGTTAACCATAAAGTAAATGAACTTTTCCTGTGAGAAAGATGCAGAAGGATTTGTCTGATATGTGGAAGCTCTGTCAAGGCAGTGAGTTTGGAGTCCTACTTGGCTTGGAACTGTTAATTTGTGGAGCCGTACTGGATTATTTATTCTGCAGAATTGTCCCGTAAACTAATTGGTACTGAGGTTGAGGAAAAGGAAATAGATCTTGAAAAATGAGAGTGAAAGGGTCAACTAAAGCCATTCTTTAATACACCACATCAGGAAAATAGCTTATATCTTTTTTCAGATTTCTATACTCTACATTTTTAAATGAATAGGAAAATAGAGACTAAGTTAAAATTATGTTTTTAGTTACTGTCAAGCAGTCTCAGACAAGAATACTTAAGGGAGTGTTTATGTTTTACAAGTTGCTTCCTTTTTCCTCAAACATGAATTTCTAGTAACAAGCATCCTTATGAATTTACTGTAATTTAAAATTTCACTGAAGCTGAATTAGCAAAATACCTTCCAAAGAAACAACTTCAAGAGGCCAGGACTTGGGGGGAATTACAGGATTTGCAAGCAAAGTGCACTGCAAATGTTTAAGTTCGGTATTGTTCCATTTTAAACTATCGGTCTCTTTACAAAGTGTGGGGAACATTATTTTTTTTTAACATTTGGAAATGGGGATTAATAACCAAATTTTTGAAATTGTATATAATTGTTATGTATTGTTTATTTTTGTGGTGGGTAGCTGTTGTGGAGTTTCTCTTTTTGACAAGGATCAGCAGAAGGGATTATTTTTAAGGAAACCTATTTATTCAAAGGCTATTAGTGTTTTTTAAAATTAATATTTCTGTGGATAGTTACTGTTGGTCTTAGTCATTTAGAATTGTTTACCTTCAGTGGCCAAATCAGACTTGAGTTTAATTGATCCCTCAGAAATGTGAGAGTCATTAAGAGAGTCTTGTAACCAGTAGCATTTTACATTGTTTATATCTGAGTTTGTTTCAGGGAAGAGCCTGTTTAAGTGTGTGTCAACCATCAGAAAAACTGTTGTCATTTATTATAAACTCTTTTTTTCTCAGGTATCGCCAACTGAAACAGCAGTGGGAGATGAAAACTGAGGAGGCAGATTTATTACAAACCAAGCTTCAGCAAAGCTCATATCACAAGCAACAAGAAGAATTAGATGCGCTTAAAAAGATCATTGGTAAGAAAAATGTTCTATGCTAATCTGTTTCTACTGATATCCTTACTTCATGTATTTAGAAGAGCTCATGTTTATTATATATTTATTTGAATTAATTACTTTAAATACTTTTATTAATAATAATATGTAATAATTTTCTATCTGTGTGCCCCTTTTTGTTGGATTGCTCATGATTTATTTCTGTTATTCTCATATATAGCGTTCTGATTTTTATAGGTTATCTGCATTTCAGATACCTTTTTACTTATATGCTTGTCTTTTAGCTTTATGTTCATAGTATTTTTGCTATACAGAAATTTTTAATGTATAATTCAACTTATAGCTATCTCTATCCCTAATTTTAAGAACCTGTCTTATACCTTTAATCGGAATTTAAGTGTATATGGTAGTTTGAAATTTGTCTTGTTACTTAGGACAGTGTCCACACACCTACTCCCCCCACTAAATTTTCATTCATTTTTTTCTCTTATAAAATTAAAAATTCACCCATTTCATTTACCTCTCCCACCCTCTGCCTCCCACAAGCACAAATCTTTTCTTTGTATCTGTGAGCTAGGATATTTAAGATTCCATATATAAATGAGATCATATGGTATTTGTCTTTCTCTGTCTGACTTAAGTTCACTTAGCATAATGACCTCAAGATCCATCCATGTTGTTGCAAATGGTAGGATTTCCTTCCTTTATTTGGCTGAATAATAGTTCCGTTGTATGTATATACCACAGTTTCTCTCTCCATTTACCCATTAGTGGACACAGGTTGTTTCTATGTCTTGGCTGTTGTAAATAATGCTGCAGTGAACTTGGAAGTCCAGATATCTTTTAAATTAGTGTCTTTGGTTTTTTCAGATAAATATTCAGAAGGAGAATGCTCCATACTGTTTTTTGTAGTGCCTGCACCAATTTACAATCCAACCAACAGTGCGCAAGTGTGCCCTTTCTCCACATTCTTACTAACACTTGTTATTTCTTGTCTTTAATAATAGTCATTCTAACAGGCAGTGATATCTCACTGTAGTTTTGATATGCATTAGTGTTGAGCATCTTTTCATGTACCTGTTGGCTATGTCTTCTGTGGAAATTGTTCAGGTCCTCTGCCTATTGTTTGATTGGATTGCTTTTTTTTTTTAATTGAGTTGTATGAGTTCCTTATAAACTTTAGATATTAACCCCTTCCTTATCAGATATATGATGTACAAATATGTTTTCCCATTCAGTAGGTTGCCTTTTCGTTTTGTTGATGGTTTCCTTTGCTGTGCAGAAGCTCTTTAGTTTGATATAGTCCCACTGGTTCATTTTTGCTTTTGGTGACAAATCCAAAATATCAAAACCAATGTCAGGTAGAGTACCACCTGTGTTCTTATAGGAGTTTCATGGTTGCAGGTCTTACATTTAAGTCTTTAATCCATTTTTAGTTAATTTTTGTGTATGATATTATATAATGGTCCAGTTTCATTCTTTTGCATTTGGCTGTTCAGTTTACCCACTCCATTTATTAAAGAAACTGTCTTTTCCCCATCGTATGTTCTTGACTCCTCTGTCATAAATTAATTGACCATGTATGCATGAGTTTATTTCTGGGTTCTCAATAGTTCCATTGATCTGTGTCTGTTTTTATTTAAAAAAAAAACCATACTGTTTTGATTACTCTAGCTTTGTAATATAGTTCAAAATCAGGGAGTATGTTACCTCCAGCTTTGTTCTTTTTCAAGATTGCTTTGGCTGTTCAGGGTCTATTGTGGTTATATACAAATTGTAGGATTGTTCTGTTTCTGTAGAAGTGCCATTGGAATTTTGATAAGAATTGAATTGTATCTATAGACTGCTTTTGGATAGTATTGACATTTTAACAATATTCTTCCAACCCATGAGCATGGAATATCTTTCCATTTATTTCTGTCTTCAATTTCTTTAATCGGTGTGTTACAGTTTTCACTGTACAGGTCTTTCACCTCCTTGGTTACATTTATTCCTAGATACTTTATTCTTTTTTGATACTAAATGGGATTGTTAGTGTATAGAAACACTACAGATTTTTGTGTGTACTGATTTTGTATCCTGTGACTGCTGAATTTGCTTATTATTTCTAACACTTTTTTGATGTAGTCCTTAGGGTTTTCTGTATATAATGTCATCTGCAAAAAGCGACAGTTTTACTTCTTTTCCAATTTGGATGCCTTTTATTCATTTTTCTTACCTAATGACTATAGGACTTCCAGTACTATGTTGAATACAAGTGGTGAGAGTGGGCATCCTTGTCTTCTTCCTGATTTTAGAGGAAGAACTGGGCTTTTCAGTTGATTATGATGTCAGCTGTGAGCTCGTCATGTGTAACCGTTATTAAGTTGAGGTATGTTCTCTCTTTGCCCACTTTATTGTGAGGTTTTTAATCATAAGTAGATGTTAAATTTTCTCAAATACTTTTTCTGCTATTAGATATCCATGATTTTTTCTTTCATTTGTTACTGTTGTATATACCACGTTGACTGATTTGCCAATGTTGAACCATCCTTGTATCTCTGGAATAAATCTCACTTGGTCATGGTGTGTGATCCTTTTAATGTATTATTGAATTCAGTTCGCTAATATTTTGTTGAGTTTTGCATTTATGTTCATCAGGGATAATAGCCTGTAATGTTTTCTTGTGGTGTTCTCTGGTTTTGGCATCAGGGTGATGCTGACCTCACAAAAAAAGTGTGGAAGAGTTTCCTTCCTGTCTACTATTTGGAGGACTTTGAGAAGGAAGGATTGGTATTAATTCTTTGAATGTTATAATTCACCAGTAAAGCCATCTAGTCCATGACTTCGTTGGGAATTTTTTGATTATGCATTAAATCTCCTTACTAGTAATCTATCTTTTCACATTTTCTGCTTCCTCCTGATTCAGTCTTGATAGGTTGTATCTTTCTGAGAATGTATTTATTCTAGGTTGTGTGATTTGTTGGTGTAAAATTGTTCATGCTAAACTTCCGTGCTTCTTTGTATTTCTGTGGTATCAGTTGTAACATCTCTCATTTCTGACTTTGAGTCTCTCTTTTCCTTCGGTCTAGCTAAGTGTCAGTTTTATAAAGAACCAGCTCTTAGTTTATTGATTTTTTTTTTGTATTTGTTTTTAGTTATTTCCATTCAGATTTTTTTATTTTCTTCCTTCTACTAACTTTGGGCTTTTTCTTTTTCTAGTTCCTTAAGGTATAAAGTTAGGTTGTGTATTTGAGATTTTTATTTCTTGAGGTAGGCATTTACTCTTATGAGCTTCACTTTTAGAACTGATTTTGCTGCATCTAAGGTAAGTTTTGGTATGTTGTATTTTCTGTTTCCTTTATGTCAAGGTGTATTTTTATTTCTCTTGATTCTTGCAATGGTACTCTACAATGAAAGGTAGTGTAGGAAATTGTGTAGTCATGGCTTTCAGGGTAATATTTGTATGTAGGTCCTGACACTTAAAAGTGTATGTCAGTTGTGACCATAATATACTCATATCTTACTTTTTTATTTTTTTAATTTATAAATTTAAAGGTAATGTTTGTTATAACTTCATCCTAGAAGTTATGTAGTTAATGTAAGTTTTCTTGTAACTAAAATAAAAAAACACCATAGTTATATTCTCAGTTCTGGTTTTTGAAAGCATATAAATATTAAAAAGATCACAGATTATCTTTTTACATAAGTTGTTTCAAAACTTTGTTTAAAGTAAATTAAGTTGTAAGTAAAGTTTATGTTACTTAATTTCAAGTGATTGGAAATAATTTCTTTACAGATTTTTAGATAATTCAGCTATGGCTCTTAGGCATGATCTATGTTTCAGCATACCATTTCTAGAATAAGGTTAAAACAGTTAACTTTTTTTAAACTCTTGCCTCTAACTTTCCATACCTTTTCTTCTGTTAAAAGTTGAATTTGTTAGCCATTATCTGTAACTGTTAATAGTTGGAAGACCTCATTTAGGCATATTTGCCTACTTTATGATGCAGAGGAAAGTGAGGAGACCTTAAAAAACACCAAAGAAATTCAAAAAAAAGCAGAGGAAAAATATGAAGTATTGGAGAATAAAATGAAAAATGCAGAAGCTGAAAGAGAGAGAGAACTGAAGGATGCTCAGAAAAAACTAGATTGCGCCAAAACTAAAGCAGATGCTTCTAGTAAGAAAATGAAAGAAAAACAACAGGTAATTTTTTTTTAAATGGAACTTATCTTTTAACATTAACGTAGAATGAAGGTAGCAGAACAAACACCATTGGTTGGCCTTGGCTTTATTCATCAGAATTCATTCACTCATTTATTGTATATGTATTTTTATTGAAATGTAGTCACTTTACAATGTTGTGTCAATTTCTAATGTACAGCATCAAAATTTATCACCAAATCCAAAAGTGAGATGTGCTTCTTTAGGAGATAAATTATGAATTGTTATGAGTCAAATTAAAATATGTTCTAATCTAAAACCCTGTAATTGAGCATCATATAATTTTGAGTAAGGGTTGTATAGGTTTGCAAATTTTGGAGAAGGAGCAAAGCTGCCTTTTGGTAAACGCTTCATTCAAGAGTGGACCAAAGCTCCTATCATGTGACACCTGTGGCTTAACCAGAGATTCACTTTTGACATTTCTGTTTGCTGATCATCTGTGTGAATGTACGCTGTGAGAGAATGATGTGAGACAAAGCATGTTATATTTATAAATTGCTGTTTGATTGTGGACTGGTGATGTCTGATCTTTTGGATAGTGCAAAGGCTGGAATTTAAACCTGTGTTTTTCTGTCTACAAATGCTGTGTGCTCAATCTATTCTGTAAAATTTCATTTAAATCTTTTGTAGTTTTTTTTTAACCCACCTTATGATTCTGTCATTAAATAACTGCACAAAGTATTTTCTAAAAAACTAAAGGCTATAGAGGAAAGAAGAAAATTGAGAAGCTAATGTTTTTGTTACTGAATAATTCTAAACAGGCTTTACCTCTGTTAATTTATCTATTATGTAGAATTCCATATTGTTTTTCCCTGTAGGAATAGAAGGATAAAGGACATAGTTTATACAAAGTTCTTTGAACCCATAAAACTGTATGTACATTTGTCATCATTTTTTTAATATATTAAAATTAATTCCCTTTCCCCTTCAGAAATAGCTTACATATTTTTGGTAGCTGAATAAGCTGTAGGTCTTACTTGCTTGAGAATCTTACTGATTTTGTTGATATGTATATTTTTGTTTTTTAGTAGTTAACAAATGGTTGAATGCCCAGATGCTGTATTTCTTGTAGGAAGTTGAAGCTATCACCCTGGAATTGGAAGAGCTCAAGAGAGAGCATGCATCCTGTGAGCAACAGCTTGAAGCTGTAAATGAAGCTATCAAATCCTATGAAGGTCAGATTGCAGTAATGGCAGCAGAGGTGGCTAAAAATAAGGTAAGATTTACTTACCATATTGGAAAAATTACAAATGTTAATCTCCTGAAGGTGTTTGACTTTAGAGGTCTCCATCTCTTCCCTCTTGTCACAATGGGAGGCAAAATGATGATTACCAACCCAGAAAGAGTTCTGAAATAATATTACTAATTGTTTTAGTCCAGTTCTACTCAGAAGTCAAAAACTGCACAGTAATTTGACTAAAGTTTAAATAAAAAGTGATTAGCTATACAGGAGTTTAGAATGATGCAGGATTGCTAAGAAGTAAAGAAAACTCTAAAGAATGTAAGAACAGCATATAGACGGAACGGTCATTACCTGTAGGGCCGAGGGAGAGGCATCCATGGAAGGAACAGGTCTGGAAAGGATCCCATTCTACCTGCAGGGCTTGGAACAGACCTAGTTATGTCTTTGTGTAACTGTGGCCCACTGGTGGTGGAGTTGGTGGAGTGCTGAGGAAGCCACACGTAGGAGAGTGCTGCATGGGGGCACTTGCTGGAAAATAGCTGAGATGCCAGGGGGAACTGGCCACGGGGAGATGCCCAGCCTGCAAAAAATGCTGCGAAGTCCCCGCTGCTGGGAAAGCCGTGTAAGCTACTAGTCCCTGTATATGATAAGCTTGCCTTTAATAAAGGCACATCAGAACCGAGAAATAAAGCCCCTTCCTTTTAGTGTCCCTGCAGCAGCCTTTAGTGATGCATCTGGCGAGGGAGAACTGTTCCCAGCTCAGAAGCAGGCGGTAAAGGGTGCACTTGGGGCTGAGGGGCTTGGCTTTTACATGTTATGAAGACATTCTGTCACCTGCAAATTAATGTTGTGATATGTCTTTATTAGATCTTGACTTTTTTTATGATTTTGACCTTGAATTCTGTTTTGTTTCATATTATTTCTACTCCTTTCTTTTTTTAAATTGAGGTGTAATTGACATAATGTTAGTTTCAGGTGTACAATGTAATGATTCAGTATTTGTATATATTGGGAAATGATCACAGTAAGTCTACTTAACATTGTCACCATACATAGTTACAAAATTTTTTTTCTTGTGATGAGGACTTTTTAAAAGTTGTACTCTCAGCAACTTTCGGATATGCAGTAGTGTTATTAACTGTTGTCACCATGCTGTACAAAGTGTAACTACTTTTGTTTTTTGATACAACTTTGATTTTTTAAGTTTTCTGTTATGTTTCTGTGTAGTGTTTTTGTAAGTAGTGTATCATTGATCTTCATGTTCACTAAAATGTAAATAGCTTTAACAGGGGGTGTTCCGTCCTGCACGGTACCTGCACGGTAGTAAAGTGTGCTTTGGCCTTTTGTCATCTGTTTCTTCATTTCCCTTTTTTCCCTGGAGATGGTGGTTTTAGTTTTAATTGTTGTAGCCTGCAGTATTTTAGAAGGTAGTTCTTTCCTCTTGATTCTGTTTGTGGTTACCTTCACGTTTTTTGTTTTTAACACATTATTTATCAAATCAATAGCAGAATAACAACTTATCTTCAAAGTGCTTCTCGGCTTTGTGTCACTGATATATTTTCTAAGGTTTCTTTTCTGCCTTCAAAGTAAATTTTAGTTTTTTAAAATATTTTGTTTCCTCCCGATTTTTTTTAATCTCATTATTTTTCATCTTGTTCCTCTGTTTTCTACTATCTTTCATAGACATCATGTTGTGGAATTTTTAAAAATTAGATGTTTATGTCTAAAGAGAAATATGGAAGTAAGATAAGCCACTCCTTCCTTGGTCTAAATGTAGAAATAAGTATATGTTTTGATTTTATCTTTAAAGAGCATATCTATTTCCCCTTGTGGAAAACTATAAAATGGACCACTTAGTTTTTAAAGGTTGTTAGTTCAGGCTCTACATTCTAAATTGTTCCCCCTTGCTGATACAAGAGTACCAAAGGACACTCTCAGGGAGCTACGAAGAGAAATTGCCTGCTAAATTAGGTTCAGACAAAACTGAAATTTGACTTTTGCTCAATCTTAAGTGATGGATTTCCTTTTTTTACAAAACCCCTACCATTGTGAAAAATTAAAACAGTCACACCTGCAATGCAGTCTTCAACCTCCAGGCATGAGAGGAATCTTCATAAACACATTTTGTCACGGGTTCTTGTTTTGGGTTTTGTATGTGAATGTTGTGGTTTATCTTCCTTCTGCAAAAGATCTTTAGTGACACAAACATTACAAGGAAATAAAAGCACTTATAGCACATTCAGTAATTTAACTATATTATCAAATATTGTGTATTGCTCAAAATTATGTTTTCTAATAAGCATGCCTAAAAAATTCCTAAATTTATACTGGTCTTACACCAACAGAGAGCTCTTCTTCCTCAGAGTCTTTTAGCAGGCTGTTCTACTTCTTTGTTTTCCCCCTACCAAAATGAGTGGAGCTAGGTTTTTTGTTTTTTAGACTTTTGTGTGAGTTTGACTGTACCTGTATGAGGACGACTTTTAAGATCTAGCAACAAGGTTTAGGGAGCAGGGGAGAGGGGACAGTTGGTAAACTAAATCCTAGCTGTAATTATTACTTTGAAAGTTGAAATAACTTCAGCTTTGGAAAGTAGGGGATTGTAAAACGTTAGAGAAAGTGGTTTTTCTTTGTGCCACAGATACGTTTCTTCAAAAAAATTTCTTCTTCTTCCATATCTCTATTTTGACACATGTGCTAGAACCACTCTGGCCTTCCATTGCCACAGGTAAAGTCTTAACATCTCTAGGAGGGAAAGGAGCACATCCCAGCCCACCCTACTGCCACCCCTGTTCTTTGCCCCTCCTGATAAACGCCATTTGGGAGTCTGTTAGACTGTCTTCTTGTTAACTACCCTAAAATGCCACTTTTCTGAGACCTCAATCTGAGGTCAGATTTCAGTAGTGCCCCCTCCACAGCTGACCCCAGGTACACTGCATCTTGCAGAAACTTTGCTTCCAGCATGAACACTGCATCCCATTTCTTTTTTTTTCTAGGAGTATTACAAGTTTCCTCTTATGTGTAAATTCACTAGTCATTTTAATGGGGACATAAAATGTAGAGAGTTGGGTGACCACCTACCTGTAATCACATTGCCGTCTTTCCCAGCTGTTAGAAAACTAAAAATGACTCTCTCTTACACCTTGCTATGTATTGTCTTCTAATTACTTGTTTCAGGAGTCAGTAAACAAAGCTCAAGAAGAAGTGACCAAGCAAAAAGAAGTGATAACAGCCCAGGACAACATAGTTAAAACTAAATATGCAGAAGTGGCAAAGCATAAGGAGCAAAACAATGATTCTCAGCTTAAAATTAAGGAACTGGACCACAACATCAGCAAGCACAAACGGGAAGCTGAAGATGCTGCTGCCAAGGCGAGTTGTGGTGTTCATTTTTACCCTTACTCAAATTTTGGCCTGTGTTGTTGAAATACTCCAGTAAACTGCTACATGAAGAATTTCATATAAATGGCAGAACTACTGTGTAACATAATTTTGAGGCTTACAACTATGTTAACTGCCTCTTGCAATCACCAAATAGCAAAAATGTTTTGTTTTTAAATTTAATTTTAGGTGTTTATTCCCATCTCCAAGATGTTTTTACCAAATATTTAGTGGTCTCCCTTGGAAATGACTGGTTTTTATCCCTGAACGTGCATAGAACTAATTACTAATATATTAGTAGTAATACTATACATTCTTTTCCTTATTTCAGATTGAATTGAAAGAATTCACAGAGAAATAGACACAGGCAACTTCTAAAATAAGGACTTAACTGCTTTTAGGATGTCCTTCTGAAGATCAGTAGAGTCAGTTTTTGCAGCCTCATGTGAAATCTCTGATGTTTTGCTAAGCAGTTATCTTCCTGAGGTTATCCCACAGTGTTTTGGTCACTTACTCTTTGGTCTCAAAGTTTCTTCCTTCTTGTATCACAGTGCCTTAAGTACTTAAAGAGAATACGTGGTTTTGCAGAAATTCATTGCTTGGTTAAGAGGCTACATTTATCTGGTTTTAATAATTCACCAGTCATGTTTTCCTACTGCTGTATAACAGTTTAGTGCCTTTTAAGTCTTTTTTAGCATCATGAAAGTACAAGGAATTTAACTTCAAAAAGATCAGAACATACAAAACAGTTTCCCACCCTCTCAAAGAGCCCATGAGTACCTGTTCAGTTTCATTACTTGATTTAAAAAACAATTTTTTTATGGCCACATCATAATATCCTAATATTTTAGTATTGATTTCCTGTTAGCCTTGTAGCCTGGTATTAGTGGATTCACTGAACCGTTACCAATGCTAATATCACTGTTAATAGTTCTTTGATAATTGAAAATGCTAGATTGGTATTTACTAGCCTTTATTTACAGTTAAGGGAAGGGGACAGAAAGAGGAACTTGCAAGTGGAACTGCTGAAAAATCAAGGATTCTTTGAAATATATAGCTTATCAGGTATTTACTGCATACTGTGCCAGGCATGAAAGATGGAAGAATGAGTAACATGAACACAGAATGCCTGCATAGAGCTCACAGGTCAGCAGGGAAGAGAGACTAGAAGTGGTCATTTTACTTTGGAGTCTAGTGGTGAGACTGTACCCACATAATTAATAAAGATGATTGATACGGTTGGTTCTGACTGGTAGACTCTAATCCTTAAACAATTCTAATAGAAGAAAGTCTTCTTTCAGCACTATAATTAAAAATTTTTAATTGGTTATATTTTATAAAGTAGTATTTTGCTGTGCCTTGTCAAAAGAGGGTGGCAGGAAGATAGAGTCAATATTTAGGACAGTTGTTTACTTAGATTATAATTTCAAGAAGAATTAACAGTTAGGATTAAGCTTCCATGATTTTCCTAAATCTATGACCTAAGTGTGCCTATAAGGCTTTTAACTTTCACAAGTTGTTTTTTGAAGCAATAGATGGAATTTGGTAAATTCCAGAGCCTCACCTGACTGATTTCATTACAGTGAAGATGTATTGTATATAATTACATTTTGTAACTATTTCTCTAAGTTGGCTCTTATTCTAATGCTTAAGTAGTAGGAAGATCTTTTTCTATATAGTCATGTTTCTTGAGCCTATTCTCCAGGTAAAAATATTCATACTTATTACAGATTCTCTGTCAACCATGAACCTCATTTTTTTCAAATAAGTCATCATGGGATTTTTCTCCAAAATGTTTGGTTTAAAATTACTAAATATTTAAGAAACTGGCTCTTGTTTTTTTGTTCATTTTTTTAGTTATTTTATTGATTCGAGTTGGTTTACAATTGTGTTAGTTTCTGGTGTAGCATAGTGATTCAATTATATATATTCCTTTTCATATGCTTTTTCATTATAGGCTATTATAAGGTATTGAATATATAGTTCCCTGTGCTAAATAGACCTTGTTTACCTATTTTATATATAAGAAACTAGTTTGTAAATATAAGCTTGTAAGCAGTAATATTTTTTTATCATCATTGTATGTGGCTAGGTGTCCAGAATGTTGAAAGATTATGACTGGATTAATGCCGAGAAACACCTCTTTGGGCAACCCAATAGCGCCTATGATTTCAAAACTAACAACCCAAAAGAAGCTGGTCAGAGACTTCAGAAGTTGCAAGAAATGAAGGAGAAACTAGGAAGAAATGTCAACATGAGAGCTATGAATGTACTGACAGAAGCTGAAGAGCGGGTAAGTCCTATGACTGTCAGCTCATTTTAGAATATAGCAGAGTAGCGCTGACGGCTTTATGTGGCTCCTGAGGCAGTTACTAGAGTCAGTCTTTTGCTTGATGCTCTTGATACTTGTTTTCTTTGGATTTTCCTTTTCTCCTGTTTCAGTTATTTCCTATTGCATTCTTTTTGCATCATCAGTTAATTAATCTGTTATACCTTGGATGACTTTTCCACTGGCCTTGGCCTTAGTCATAAAAATGATCTACTCTTTTCTTATTCTTGGTGTAAATAAAAACACTTTTTGATCATGTTAAGTCCTCACATTGCTATCATTTCTTTCACTTGCCTTTTTAAAAGGTTTCAAAAAATAGGGTACAGGTTTCCCCACCACCCAAAATTGAGGCATTCCTGTGAAACCTTTCTTACACCAAAATGGTGCGCCTGAAGGTAATTCCTCCTTCGCTTTACACCTTGCTCACAGATGCACACAATAACCTGAGGTAAAGCACAGTTGCCCATAGACCCAGCGCAAAACTCTGACAGCTTGATGCTGAGATGCTCGGTGTCCTTCCCAGTAAAGGAGCTCGATGGTGCCACTCGGTGCTCCGGCTGTGCACTGCTTCCGTAAGGGCTCGCTGCAAAACACATGCTGAATGCTATTTTCGCTTTTTACCTTTTCTTATAAAAGCAAAGTGGTGTGTTGAAAAGTGGGGACACCTGTATCCTGCTGTCTGCTTCCTCACCGATCACCCCTAACTGCTATCTTCCTTTGATTCTAGTGTAGGCTGGAACCTCTGCATAAGTAATGACTAAAACTGTTATATACATAAACGCTGTTTTACAGATCCATAAATCCAGCAGTGTCTTCTGTTTTAATGCTTTCAGTTACTTAATAATGTTATCCATCTCCCCTACCTTTCATAGTCTGCCATGTCCCTAGAAAACCCAAAGGGGAAGAAAGCAGTTTCTAGTCTTGTTGGCTCCATAGTAAATAGCAGTCTGGGTGATTTTTCCTTTAATTCTGTAAATTCTGTTTGAATTTGCATAGCAGAGTTAACGAGAGCTCTGTAAAAGTGATGGTTCTTATGAGCTCAGTCACTTTTAAGAAATTTAGTGGTAATGGGTTTAACTCATTTTTTGAAACTGTCATTGACATTAGTATCTTTATTCTGTTAGATACCAAACAGGCTAGTAACGCACTTGCTGTAATCTCTCTGAAATATTCCTGCTGGTTTTCATTTCTCCATTAAAACTTTGCAATATATGGCATATTTGTGGAAGGGAAATCTTCCGTCTGAATTTGAGCTGCTTAACATCATACACTTGTTTACTTTTACTATTTGCTTTTATTAGATGATAACTGGATCCTGATATTTTTTTAAAAGTAATTTACCAACTCCCATCTTCTTACCAGAGAGGGAGGCTCTGTTGTTGATCAGCAGCTGGCCTTTTGTTTTTTGTTGTATTTTGTGTCACCACATGTAAGAAACTACATGGAATTATGCAAGGAATAGGATAAAAATGTCAAACTCTTGAAACCTCCTCTCCACAAAGGAGAGGGACAGCAGGGAAATAAGCAGGACTGGCTGGAGTTTTTTTGGGAGAATTTGAAGCCTCCTTAAAATGTGAGGCTTTGAGCAGAAATAAGTTAAAAGGATTTTTAGAAAGTGCTACTGTTACTTGTGGTATGATTATCCCTCTGCAGCCTCCCTCAAAATTTTTTCCAGTAAATTTCTGCATTAACCAGGGGAGGCCACTCTGAGTCTGTGATGTTTGAGCTGAAACTTAAGGCTCCAGCTTATGTCAGAAACAGAAAGAACAATGCAGGGGCCATAAGGCTACAGTGAACTTAGTATGTTCAAGGAACTGAAAAAAGACCATATGGCTGGAGCCTGGGAGGAGTGTGATGCCAAAAATTCAGAGATAAATTAAAAGCCAGATTATGTATGACTTGTTACATCAAGGTGAAGAATTGAAATTTTATTTGTGTCACTGCTAAGACTGACTGACCTCACTTCTTAAGCATTCAGGGCTGCTTTTGAATTTATATATGGTAGATTCATTTCCCTTTTTGCGTGGGCTGCTAGGAAGATACAGGAATATTTGTGGAGTCAGAATATTTCAAAAGCTTGTCCTATAAGTTCCCAATTATAGTCACTGAATTTTACATAGAAATGATTATTTACTTTCCTCAATTTGGTTTACATTATAACTCTTACTATAGTATGCCTTTTTGGTAAATAGGAGTTGTGTATATATATACACACACACACACACACACAACATATAAAATAATGAAATCTCCATATTCTAGAATTCAGTCGGAAATAAAAAGATAATTTTGTTTTTCCAAATTAAGTATGCTTTTTATCTTACTAGTATAATGACTTGATGAAGAAGAAAAGGATTGTCGAAAACGACAAATCCAAAATCCTGGCAACTATAGAAGATCTTGACCAGAAGAAAAATCAAGCCTTAAATATTGCTTGGCAGAAGGTATTTGAACCAAAGATATTATCATTTACTTTGTATGAAGCAAGGATGAACAATACTGTTGATAGGATTTTAATCTAAGATGAATTTGAAATAACTGATTTGTGTTTGAGGCCTATCCTCATACCTTAATTAAAACATCGTACACTTTTAAAAGCAGTTTGCCCTTTTGGACTTTACTACTGATTTGCAAAGGTAAGTTGTGTCACGCCATCACACTCTCATAGCGTACTTCCCTGGTTCCTAAGTTACATTAAATTTCTAACTTTCTAGATTTCTCCATTTTTCATTCTTACGTTGTTTCAGGTCTGGGCTACCTTTAAAGGAGACACTGTACTGTCGTCTTCTCATGAGATCATAGAGTCTTCTAATATTGGGAAAATACTGTCCAGTATCTGCTTGACCCCCACTCACCTTCTGCTTGACACTGGAAGCAGTATCAGTTTCACACTGGGAGAACTCCAGTTGTTGGAAGATCTCTCCAAGGGACCCATTGGTTCAGACCTCTGGTTTCTCTTGCCCAGATGCACTGAGGTCAAATATTAGTTCTAAGAATGTTTCTATAGTAAGATTGTGTATTCCTTACCACTTACATTATTACTTGCATTTCAGAATTCATAAATATGCATTCTGTAGGTTTTTAGCAAAGCATTTCATACATGTTAGATTAATAATTAGAGAATAATTATATTATTATAATACAGCAGTTGCTCTATTATTTTCCATTAATTATCTTAAAACAGTTCTGTAGTTTTGATAGTTATTATCTCTATTTTATAAATGAAGAAACCAAAGCTTAGAAAGATGAAATAGCCTGTCTAAGCTCATAATAGTCAAAAAGTGGAAAATCTGGGATTCTCTTTTCCTGTGTTAGAACCAAGGTTAAAATACCCTTTTGTTGCTCTGTAAAGACTGGGTAATAAACAAGGAAGTTTAGTATTGTACATAATTCATATTCAGCAAAATCCCAATTACCATTTGTGTTTTATCCCAACTTCGGCAGATTTCAAGTTTGTATTTCTACTTCCCTCACTGCATAGATTTGTCACCTTCAGGGTAATTCCTTAGCCTCTGCTGTGAAGTTTTCCCTGTATTTACCATAGCAAAAGACTCCTACTCAAACGATTCCGTAGTTATTGTGCTGTTTGGTACTTTAACAGGTCTGGCCTTTGGGATATAACTGGCCACTTTTCCTCTTTTTCTCTTTAATTCTGCAGGAACTTTATTTTCAGTAAGAACAGTACAGTTATCCCTTTAAGTCACCTTGTTTTTCCTGTTCTGCAGCTTATTTTCAGTGTTCTATCTCCCTATAGTGTTTGTTTGTCTATCTTTTTAAAAATGCTTGGAAAAAGTTGGCCCCATTATTCTTATACAACATGTAGATTTAACACTAGGTCTAGGAGATTTGCTTCTGTTGTTTTTCCCCACAGTTCCTGGATTTAATGCAAGTACAAATTTATCTTTTAAACCGATGTTTTCCCCAATCTCCAAAGTTCTCCTAATGCAAGTACATTTATTGCGTGCTTATTATATGTCAGGTATTCTCATACTAATTTTCTCATTTAATCCTTGCAGTAACCTAATGAGATAGGTACTGTTATTATCAGCATTATAGACTTCCTTCTGGCTTCAAGCAAACTTGATTCACAAAGCCAGAGTATTTTAGGCACTGGTTGTGTTTTTGCTTTTTTGTTTCCTTCTTAGCCTCATTGGAGTTTTAAAATTTGATTTATTTTCTATTTATGATAGGGCTACATTCTTCTCTACCCATTAACTGACACCTTTCTCTCTTCCCCCTTTGGAGGAATTCCCACGTGGGATTCATGGTCATGTTTGGGATTTAGCAGAATTCCACTGTCTCAGTTTTGGGTACCTCTCTCCTGCGTGGTCAAAACAATTTAAAAAAGGAAAGGGCATTTATAAATATATGCTGTCTTCCATTTTGTCCCCCCAAAAAGGCAGTGGTCCTCTGCTCCACTATGATGAACCTTGCCTAGCTCTGGAAATCTATCCCAGATCAAACTGGAATCTACTTTCTGTATAGGATATTATTCAGCACATGTGCAGTTGCTCTTAGAATGTGTGTTCCTTAGTAAATTTATATTTAGGAGCACTGTTTACATCTAGATTTCCTTATTACTCATATTCATAAAAAGTGTATTTTGCACTTGAATTTGGAGATTTCCCTAGAAAACATGGCTGTCTAATCCTTGTGGGAGTGCATGCACGTGCATGGTCACACACACACATACACACACACATATATGCTCTCGAATTTGCCTGCTGAACTCTGAGATTATTAGTCATGTCTTTGAAGACAGTTGTCTGAATTCTCAAATCATTAATCAAGTGTGTATGCACAGAAATTGTCCAGTTACAGTCTAGAATATGGGTCTAAATCTGTGTAATCGCCTACTGTGGCTTTATGGGGATAAGCCGAATAGTTTCTTTAGCCTTTTTCTTTTGGTGCTCAATCCTATTCCTGTCCCTTGATACCCTAACTTCTTAGGCTTTGAGAAGAAGCATATAGAAAAGAACCATTCAACACCTTCAACAAATCTAGTTTGATTTCATGCCTCTCTTTCTCCTAGAGACCTCACCCTGATCTTAGGCTTTTTAAAGGTGGCTGGTTAACCACAGGCCTAGCTCACTATACCCGTCAACACAAAAAAATATGAGAACGTTTTTTGCCAAAATGAGTTTTTGTTTTTCTTCTCCAACTGAAAGTTCAGTATCTTTTATTATCCAGTTGTGAATCTCGGAGGATTCCTGCAACATGGCCTACAGAAGTATCAGAACTTCATGGCAGAGTTAGAGGTTTAGCTTCTAGTTCCCTCTGGAAGTTATAAAGTAAAGCTCAGTAAACGATTTCTGTAAAGGGACAGGTAAGAAACATTTCAGAGACATACAGTCTCTGTTGCAATCACCAGACTCCATGGCTGTGTTGCTGGCTGCCACAGACGATACATTCACGAGTGGCCACGGCTAGGTCTGTCACACAGACCACATTTGCCAGCCCGAGAGCCAGACTAACAGACAACAAAATGCTTCTGCTGGGCTGCACACGTATGCAGCATGATTCTTGAAATACCTTTTATAATGTTTTAATATTTTAATATCTTTTTTTTTTTTTAAACCCAGGTGAACAAGGACTTTGGATCTATTTTTTCTACTCTTTTGCCTGGTGCTAATGCTATGCTTGCACCACCGGAAGGGCAAACTGTATTAGATGGCCTGGAGTTTAAGGTTGCCTTAGGAAATACTTGGAAAGAAAACCTAACTGAACTTAGTGGTGGTCAGAGGTGAGTAATTCCTTTGCAGTAATTCCTCTTATTTTATTATAATCCATCATTTCACTGCCCAGTTTTATTTCAGTTTTGCTGTTCTATCTTTGCATGTAGAATTTAAGGAGCCTAATATAAGATTACAAATTTTGATTAGAACGTCTGATTTTTAGTAGGCAAAAGAAAACTAGAAAAACAATTATTAAAAAACAGTTTCAGAAAACTATGAAAAACAATTATTTTCAGACATTGGAAAAGGAATAACCCAAGAGTATGATACATGAACGAAATGAAAGAAAATTGCTGAGCCCAGTGTGTACCCTAGCTTTCTTCCTAGGAGCAATTCCTTGACTGTAGGTGCAGGGAGGGAAACCCACACAAAGCCCAGTATTCTCACTAAGTGAGGGAAGCTCCTTACCTGCGGAGAGCCACACACACAGTCACTGAAGATGGTTATTAATTTTGTATTTCTTTCCCCTGCCAGATGTACAGTCCATAATCCTTGAATCGTTCTCATGTGCCCTGTGTCATCTTGTAACTCGTAATGCGTGTAGGAAATGCTAAGACCAGTTAACTTCTCTTATGAAATCTTTGTCATTTTTATGAGTAGAATAGCAGTCCGCTCTATCTTTTTCATTATTGATAAAATTCCTAAATATGTTAAGAGTCTAAAAGAAGTTTCTGCTGCTTGTCAATTGAAATTAAGTCCCAAAATTTAGATCCCAGTATCTTTAACTGTCTGCCAAAGTTTCAGAAAAATTTGAGGAAAATACAGAATGTATGCTTATTTCTCATTGGAGCC